AGAGCTAAAGAACAAAAGAAATCTGAGGCTCCTATGTTAGTTTTTGAGTTATAACCATTTTTGTATGTCCAGATACACCTTTTTCAGATAAATTGGGGGTCCAGGGGCGTGGAGGCACTGATGGTGGGCCTGATGGATAGAGCTTCATAAGAGCTAAACAACAAAAGAAATCTGAGGCTCCTATGTTAGTTTTTGAGTTATAACCATTTTTGTATGTCCAGATACACCTTTTTCAGATAAATTGGGGGTCCAGGGGCGTGGAGGCACTGATGGTGGGCCTGATGGATAGAGCTTCATCAGAGCTAAATAACAAAAGATATCTGAAGCTTCTATGTAGAACAGTTTCTGAGTTATAAGCATTTTTGCTTGTCCAGACCCCCTTTTTCAGATAAATTGGGGGTCCAGGGGCGTGGAGGCACTGATGGTGGGCCTGATGGATAGAGCTTCATAAGAGCTAAACAACAAAAGAAATCTGAAGCTTCTACGTTGAACAGTTTCTGAGTTATAAGCATTTTTGCTTGTCCAGACCCCCTTTTTCAGATAAATTGGGGGTCCAGGGGCGTGGAGGCACTGATGGTGGGCCTGATGGATAGAGCTTCATCAGAGCTAAACAACAAAAGAAATCTGAAGCTTCTACGTTGAACAGTTTCTGAGTTATAAGCATTTTTGCATGTACAGACACCCCCACTTTGAAAGGAGCCCCCTCCTCAAATATGGGATCTATCGTAAAACCCTTGGCTGGCGCAGTGTAGGTCAGACTCATCTACAGTCCTGCCAAATTTCATGTTGACCGGGGCGCACTGATTGGTGGGACTGATGGATAGAGCTTCATCAGAGCTAAACAACAAAAGAAATCTGAAGCTTCTATGTTGAACAGTTTTTGAGTTATAAGCATTTTCACATGTACAGACACCCCCACTTTGAGATGAGCTTCCTCCTCAAATATGGGGTCTATCTTAAAACCGTTGGCTGGCGCAGTGTAGGTCGGACTCATCTACAGCCCTGCCAAATTTCATGTTGATTGGTGCAGCCGTTTTTGTGCTATGGTTGACCAAAAACCACTGGGAAAAAATAAACTGTGCAAAAAAAACCTTTTTCAGGTAAATTGGGGGGCTGGGGGGGCACTGATTGGTGGGCCTGATGAATAGAGCTTCATCAGAGCTAAACAACAAAAGAAATCTGAAGATTCTATGTTGAACAGTTTCTGAGTTATAAGCATTTTTGCATGTCCAGACACCCCCACTTTGAAAGGAGCCCCCTCCTCAAATATGGGGTCTATTGTAAAACCGTTGGCTGGCGCAGTGTAGGTCGGACTCATCTACAGTCCTGCCAAATTTCCTGTTTATTGGTGCAGCCGTTTTTGTGCTAAGGTTGACTAAAAATCACTGGAAAAAAAACAAATAAATAAACAGTACGAAAACAATATGACTCCCGCTTACGCTTCGCGTGCGAGGATCATAATTAAGCCCACATTTTAGAGAGTTTTCAGATATGACTGTATTTGTAACAAATACAGTGTGATAACTTGTCAAAACAATTGCACTTTTAACATTTTTAAAATCATTTATTTACTTTGTCTTTTCTTCATTTTAAACATGGGCCAGTGTTCTGTGTCTTTGTGTAAAACAAATGCAAAACTTATATTTATATGTCCCGTGCTCCATGTCGACCACTATTTGGTGATGCACGTGCTGCTCAGGTCTGCATTGGATGCTGATTCGCTGTGGAGGGCTTAATAAGCCACTCGCCCTCGTACATAACTGGTTTTGGATGGGACTTAATATGGTCAACCCTCCGCGGGAACGCACAAACGGAGTGAGGAGTGAGTAGGGTGAGGGTGTAGCCACTGATTGGGAAAGGCCCTAAAAGTAGCTGGCAAAAATGCAGTGAAATGGAGATTTTACACATCAAATTCACCAGCTGCTAAAGTCAAACCCTATGCAGCGCCACCTGGTGGTGGGATGTTGTCATTTCACAAGTAAAATAATCAACGTGTTATGGGAAATGTAGTTTATGGTCAACGCTGGCTTTAAAGCAGAATACATTTAAGATATCAACATGTTTTTGCAGCTCTTGTGGGCCACATAAAATGCTGTGGGGGGCCACATTTGGCTCGCAGGCCTTGAGTTTGTGGTTTAGAGAATGAAGTTGTTTTTATAGTAAACAAAGATAAAATACAGGTATTTATGATTTGCTTTATAGCTGCAGCCTGGCTCCATCTGACGACGTAATGGTGGCTTAATTGTTTAAATAAACAAACCAATGCAAAGTAAAGCTTTATAAAACACTCGTTAATCCTGTCAAATTCTTTGTCTCTAAACTGAGGTTGTTCGAAAAGGGAGCATAGTAAATGTTCATAAATCTTTCCACAGATCTTCTGACAGATGCTGCGTTCAGCAAAGCTTTTAAATCCAGAAATTAAACTTTCCACTAATTACACCTAATAAAATCACTGTCAAGTGTACGACTCTGGAAAAATTTTTGAAACATCTTCTGTAATCCAAGTTTATGTGTGACTTAAATGGAAGAAATGAACACTAAACACATGTGCAGTCAGTAAAAACATCTGCAGGTTTCCTCTCTGATATAACCTTTGTTATTAGGCAAAGCAGGCATAATTTTGCCTGAGAGACAAAACCCAGGGCAAATAACCCAAATGAGGCACTCAGCTTATTGTTGTGTGAGGAGTGTGGTGTGACAACCACAACCAACATTTCTTTTCTTTTGTTTGGATGGCAGCAGAACAACAAGAGGATAAAGTTGAAGAAAAAAATCCTCCACATTGTACCAGATAACATTTCTCTGCTCCTCATATGCGTTTATTCTTCATTACTTGTCAAGCTGATGCTAATGAACAGCAGTCCAAATTAAGTAGAGGCCAGCAGCAGATACACACACACGCACACTTAAAGTTATGAATCGGTGCAGACAGCTGTGCAGTGAAGCACTTAGTGAAGCAGAAGTAAATCACAGAATGACCATGTGTGACTTTCGCTCCTCTTTCTGTTTCTGTCCCCCCAACGCTGCTTTTTTGATTTATTTATTATTTCTTTTTTATAAACAATCATCTAAACTTCTCTTGGTGAAGTCATCATCTCTTCCACTGGCTCCACTCCGACCTTTAACGTGATTGGTTGTTGGTGTTTGTGTCATTAAATCATCTTTGGCCGTAATGAAGCGAGACAGGAGGACAGCCAAGAGTGTGTGTGTCCCTGTATGGGAGTTTGGCAAAGGGTCTCCTCACCACCCTTCAGGGACCCCTCCGGTCCATGTCACCTAAACATGTCATGGTGAATTTGACTTAAACTTGGAAAAAGTGATCGCTGTATCCACATCTTCAGCTGATTAATCTGTGGAGTCAACATAATTCAAGATGGCTGCCGTAGCTAATTAGCTAACACAAAAATGGCTATAACTCAGTCAATTTTGCAGATGCTGAAATAAAATCAGGTGTGGTAGTAGCTGAGAGTCAGCCCCAACACAAACTTTGATTCATTATTTTTAATGCTTGTTCATATGAAGATGTAACAAGTTTAATTCAACTTAATATAAAATAAGAGAGATGTTTTTCTTGGAGGAATGCTGTGTTTGTCACCCCTCCATCCGTTTGGATGTTTAACTCCGGTTCTCTCCTGTCCTCCAGATGAGTTCGTGCAGCAGCCGCGCTCTGACCATCCTGTCCACGGTGTTCGGAGCCTGTGGGCTGCTGCTGGTGGGGGTGGCCGTGTCCACTGACTACTGGCTCATCATGGTGGAAGGAATCATCCTGCAGCAAAACCAGAGCATGGAGGTGAAGATGGCTCTGCACTCTGGCCTGTGGAGGGTGTGCTTTGTGGCAGGTAGGAAGAAATATTTTATACACTCACTCACATCCTGGCACACAGGTGATCCTCGGCATGTGGATATGAAAATGCCGACGAACATACAGGAAGAGATGGGAGAGATTGGCAAGAGGAGAGAAGGGAAGCCTCTGGAGTCAAATCTGTCACAAAACATGATTGTTAACAGTGAGGAAGACTGAGGAGACCTGTGCTTCTTCACGCATCACCGACTTTCATCCTAAAAGCAAAATCAGCATTCTCTACTCTTTTTTTTCTTCACAGGATCAGAGAACGGGCGATGTGTTGCATCGGAGTACTTTACCGAACCTGAAATAGAGATCACCACCGAAAACACAGCGAACATCCTGAGTGAGTGAAAGCTCTTCAGCTGCTGGAGCTGCAGGAGAAGCTGTTCACAAACCATCAACAAAACAAGACTTCACAGAACTACTGAGTTATTTATAATTGACTTTATATTTGTGAGGTGAAAATGAGGACAGGAAAAGGTCTGAGGCAAAGGTGTTTTGGGGGCGGGGACGGTCTCAGGAGGAGTTTCCTTCACTTTTAGTTTTTGCCATTAAAAATGTAAAAGAAGTGGGGAAAAGTGACTCATAGAAGAAGATTTGGAGTGATAGATGCAAATATGCACTCATCAGCCACTTTATTAGGTACACCGCTAGTACATGGTACCCTTCTGCCCTCAGAGCTGCTTTAGTTCTTTCTGGCACAAACTCAACAAAAAGTTGGAAACGTTTCCTAAAGATTATGTTCCATATTGACATGAAGATGTTGCACAGTTGGTGCAGATTTTGTCAGCTGCGTGTCTTTGATGTGAATCAGCCACATCTCAAAGATTAACAGAGAACTTGAACGTGTGTTCAGAGATGATATTCTGTGAAAGATGGTTCTAACTGTTGTCATTTTTTATAATCTGCAATCAGTTTGGCTCTTCTCCTCCAGCATCAACTGTGGAGCTCCAAGTGTCAAATAAAATGTAAAATAATGTCACTAACTCATTTTCTTTATTCAGTTCACTGAGTGTAAAATACTAGTTAAAAAATTTCTGCTAACATTTTGTTGTTATTTAGCTCACTGTTCTTACATTTAGGACTTTTTTACTGAATGCTACATTTAAATGTTATATTAAATCTAAACGAGTAAATCTAAATGTAAAAGGTAAATGTAAATGTTGAAGTTTACATTTATGCATTTCAGCATAGAACATAGTCTGACCCTCGTCTTCAGCATGTTGCTGCCATGTGATTGTCTGATTAGCTATTTGTGTTAACAAGCACTCAGACAGGTTTATCTAATAAAGTGGTGATGTGTGTGTTTAGCTGAATTTGTGAATCCTGTTGTTGTTGTTGTTTTTTATAAGCTCTGACAACATAATCATTCATTTCTTTGAGGAAGTTCAGGACATTTCCACATCCAATAAGTTATTTTTACACTCTGACCTTTTGCTCCCACAGAGATGGTGCGCACGGCCACACCTTTCCCAATGGTGTCCCTGCTCTTCGTCTTCACCGCCTTCGTCATCAGCAACATCGGACACATCCGGCCTCAGCACACCATCCTGGCCTTCGTGTCTGGCATCTTCTTCATCCTCTCAGGTTGGACCCTTTTTTCCTCATGTCCTGCTGTCCTGCTGCTGTCTCACTTTGTAACTGATGACAGCAGCTCTGCGTATCTTGTGTCACGCAGAGACACTTTGTCACCACTCTATTTTTAGTCGGTAATAACAGGTGTATCTGCTGTCATCGGAAAGGGTGACGGGATTAGTTTTAATGATCCCCAAGCACAGAAAGTTTTGTCTAGAGTAAAACTGAGCCAGGTCTTATGAACCTGTATTTGTTTTCTAATAATTCCTCTGATCTCTGATTAAATCCAGCAGATTTCAAACATGCTGTGATTCTGTAAACCTGCTGTCCTGGTACAGTAGGATCTGACTGCAGTATAGTGCAATAAAACAAGTTAATGTATATGAAGGTGCATATTAGTGATGGCGGAGTAGGTGGATTGTCCAAGTGACTGATAACATCATGATGTGTTATACAGTTTCAGAGCATCACATCATTAATTGTTCCTTCTGAGAGAGTATGGTGACGGGACAGACCCAGGGCGCAGGCAGGTTTCAAAATGTAACAAAAAGAGGGCTGATTGCAGCAAACTTACTAGATGAACGAGGATCACAGGCAGGGGGAACAGAACACACGCAGAGCAAAACCAACACATGCAAAAAAAAAATGATCCGACGAAAGACAGAGACAGGACAGGGCTTAAATACACAGAAAACTAATGACTGAACAGAAAACACCTGAGGAGAAACACAAGGGTGACAATCAAGGTAATGTGGGGCAGCTGGGCAAAGACACACTGGGGAACATAGAAAACACTAGGAAAACTAAGGAGAATAAACACAGACTATGACGTTTACATGATGCATTTTTATTCTGAATGGCCGTTTCTTCTGATTACTTATGTCCATGTAAATGTAGCTAGTGTCAGACCTCACCATCGGGCGTTGTCAGAGCCAAAGTGGGCTTAATGAAAGCCAACCAAAGAGGACAACAAATCTAAGAAAAGTTAAACTTGAATTTGACAAAAAACTTCTGGGAGAGGGTCCTTTGCACAGTCAAGACAAAACAAAATAAAAACATTTTGGCAAACCCAAAACTTCAACATACAAAGAAAAGATCACAGTACCTACAGTGAAACATAGACCAGGCTCGATTCTGTTTGCTGCTGCTTTGCTGCATGTGGCACAGGGGGTCTTGAATATCTGCAGGGTTCAAGGAAATCTCAAGACCATCAAGAGTGAAATGTGCTGCTTCATGTTCAAAAGCTTGATCTCAGTCGCAGATCATAATG